AAATTTTGTTTTGCTATGACAATCGGATTCAATCCTCGCTGAGTACCGCTCTACACATATTATTAAGAATGCACTGTTTTATTAAAACTATTTCTTCGGTGTATTTCAATTTGAGGGATCGTACTGAAGAAGGAGATGGTAAGCTTGTTAATTAAGTTACTGTTACCGAGTTCGATTCTCGTCATATGACCCATTGCTATGACCTTGTGCCTGGGAAGAATGTCTAGTGAAAGTCTTGCGGGTCTCCAATGTTGTAACAGAACATTTCCGTTTACAATCATTGATAATTATTAATGAAATATTCAGTGATGAATACGTGCAATAACATTATGAGTGGAAAGCATACGCACTACACCAGCTCCGCTGATCAACAAAATTGGGCGTTTATTCGCTAAAGCAAATTTAAGAAATACATTCTATCAGAATATAATTATTTCATTTAAGATCATTGTATTATCAGTTTATAGCCAATGGTATCAATATATACTGGTCAAAGGGAACCGGGTTCAAAATTTTAAAAATGATCAATTTGCATATATTAAAGAAATCTTCTTTTCTATTTGCCATTGACCTTACGGAATGTTGGCGATCAAAGCTCCTCACAACTTCTTATCTTCTGTAGCTCTTACCAATATTTGTTTGTTTACTATCACTTCCACTTCCTGTTCTGCCATTTATTTACACAAACACATGAGAGGTAAAATACTTTTGCCCTTCTAGTCTTCAATAATTCCTATGAGTGTCAAATTCTCCAAGATATGTTTTCCTCATTACATTTCCTCATCATACCAGAAATTTAAATTGTATTTTACTGATTCTAAATTATATAACCGTTTCCTTATAAGGAAATATTTGGCAATCATTGACTGACCAGCTGTTACTGCTGTCGGTTGAAATTTATAAAATCTTTCTCTTAAAACAGTTCTTCAGGAAAATAAGTTTCTCAAATTCAGAAGCTTTTATCTCTCTTACCAGTATTGACGGCGGTTTCCTTCCTAATCTTTTATGTAAAGTACTGTAGAACGCTAACATCTTGATTATGACATTATATTCTCTTCGAGTTAGATGTGATATGCATTTTAGTTGCTGTTGGTAGTCCTCAAGTGACGTGGTTTTTGTTATTTGGTACAGTTCTTTGTGATTCTGTAAGGCCAGTCCACAATGTTCAAAGAAGGATGGTGCTTACTAAGATCCTCTGGCATCACTCGTTCAAAGCCATTTTGTCTGAGAAATAGGTTGTATACAGCTGACAGTTTAGATATTTCTGAATTGATTTGGTGCCATGCATGACGTCCATGTGAAAGACTCGATCTGACGAGATTATTTAAGAAAATGACTCGAGTTTTCAGCTTAATGTTTTGGTTTTGCAGCCATTTACAGTGTTGGGCGAATCTCTCCCTAGCGCAGCTCTAGTCATGTTCAGTTTCCTTTTCTCTTATACTAAACTTGTTATAACTGATCCATACACCGAAGTATTTGAAGTGCACCACATTCCACATCCTGCATTTTAATGACGGATTCAGGATATGTGCCATTACGGCTTTCATTTCAATTCTGAATCATAGTTACTGTTTTTGAATGGTTTATCTTGAGTTCTATTTCCTAGATCACTTGATAGAGGATGTTGATTTTCTATTCATGCTTATCCCAACTATGAATACTTATGATATAACCCTCATCATTATCAATACATTAACTTAAGGAGAGAAAGCAGGATCATTGGTAGATTCGTTTGAGATGTATTATGGAATGTTTAATTGATCAATGCTCATCACTTCAGATCTGTGTTTATAAATGTGTGGGGCATAGTCTAGGAAAAGATTAAATAAACTGGGACTTTCCTTGCAGTACTCTATAAATGTCCTTCTTCTTTACACTTTCCTTAAAACTTTCTCCTTGTTCACATGATGTGTCCATGGTATTCTCAGCATTCCTTTGTAGATCCACATCACTTAAGATTACTATGAGGAAATTGTTTAAGCATTCACTGCCATATAAGAGGATTGGTATTACATAGCCATTCAGCACTTTTTTAAAGTGTTCCTATCTTAGTAAAAAAAAAAGCAGTTTCTTAAGAATGTATGATTTCTTCGTTGCTATAAGCCACTCGTGAGAAGGAAAACGGAGAAATTCGTATAAAGACAGAAATGAAAAGACTAATATATTTTATCCAAACATAAAAAGAAATGAACGCTTATATGGCTAATGCGTAGTGAAAAAATGTTTCTTGGCACAAACCAGATATATTAGTACGTTCCCACATGAGGAACATTTGACTTGACACTAAGGTCGTGAAATATATAATTGCCCACCGTTTGGAAAATCGATCCTAATCATAATTGGGTTTATTGATCAGTGATAAAACTTATTCCAGTCAATCAAGTGTCTGGAAAATCTATATGAAAACAGGATCCGAATTTTTCTAGACGTATTCTGTGTATGGCGGATGTACAGACGACTTTTATATACTAGACATTTGTTACCATATTCTGCTTCAAAGTGCTTCGAATCAAATATTTGCTGTTTGAGAAAAAACTTGCCTATGCCGATCTATTTTAGGGTATCCTCAAATATTACCCAAGTCTGTCACAACACTGCATCAAAAGAGCACCAATTGAGGATCTTTATTACAAGCATTGGCACAAAAATAACTTGAAGCAGGAACACTGATATAATTAGTTTAGATATTGACCAGATTTAGCTAAGTCTGGCATAGGTTGTGGGAGCAAATGCATCTAAAATAGGGAAGGTTGATTTTTCAACGGTTTTTAGCAACATTGAAATCGGCACAAAAGCTGAAGTTTGTGACCAATAAGCACTGACAGCAAAACTTAGATTCATGAATTTTACCAACTTTTCAGCATTTAGTTTTAAAATTTTTGATAACGTACAGAAACATCTAATTTCCGCGGGTTTTTGCTCACTTCAAAATTTACTATTTCAAGAATAAATCCAAATAAAGTTAATATCTTTTGTATTAGATACATTGACTGGAAAATATATTCAAACCAGAATTCTAATTATGAATTACGACACGCAAAATATGCAATTTTATTTAATGTATTCGATAAGTAAAAACTGTGTAAAAAAAATTGTAAAAGATAACAAAAAAAAATAGATGAAAGTGTATGTAACACCATAGTACTGCTGGACACAAATTATAAGACAAAAATTAAATTTGCATTGTTTATTGAAAATCACACAAAAACTACAGCACTGTATAATATATTACATCATAATATAGCTAAATTGTTCAGTATATTTTCCCTTTTAAGTCAATGAAGGTCTTATTTAATGATTTAGTAATAATGTGCTTGTGCCATACATTTTGTCCATATACAATTTGTAAAGCTTCAGTAAATTATAAATTTTATAAGGCTGTGCTATTAGGCTTTCACTGATCACCAGAATGAAATTCCAACGTTACGATTTTGAATCTAAATTTGATTCTTAAACTAGTTTCCTCAAAATACAGTATCATTTGTGGAAAAAAATATTTTGTGTTGTTATTTATCATGTTGAATTCCAACTTTCAAATTAAGTGCACTACCATGGTTCCAAAATTGACCTTGAGGACTGGTCTACAATAGAGACTTTCTAATCATTTTCTCTGAGTGGATACATGTGTGTGTCTGTATAAATGTAACACGGCATGCGTAAATTATTACATGGTTCATCATGTTTGTCTTACAGACTAGGTCGGAGTTCGATCCTTACTTGCACCTTTGCTCGGTAAATAACAATAACAACGGATGCAACTAAATGCAAATGTAAATCTGTGGATGTAAAGTTGGAATGGGGTCTACATTTCCTCCTTGTAGTGTCATGTGTGCGAAGCGAAAGTCTTTCTTCGTTTCTAAATATGGTCACCTAGAATTTTTCAGTCAAATACTTGGAGGCATAAATTATAAAACAAAAAACATTTATTTCGAGATTCACTGCTGCTGCAGTCAGTCGTTGGATGAATACACGTTTACACCCACACATATATATATATATATATATATATATATATGTGTGTGTGTGTGTGTGTGTGTGTGTGTGTGTGTGTGTGTGTGTGTGTGTGTGTATTATGGTCTACTTTGTATCGAGCACTGATTTAAAAATAAATGCTAAAGAACTGTGGATTATAAATTTGTTCTTTATATATATATATATATATATATATATATAACAAAAATAGATGAAATGACAAAATGGAAAAGATTTTTTCTTTCATTCCTTCGGAAGGACTTCTTCAGGCAAACATTGGTGTTATCAATGTATTCATAAAACTATTGATTTCTCCAGATGAATATTAGTTTTATCGATTGAGTCATTCGATTAGCTGTAGATAGATAGATAGATAGATAGATAGATAGATAGATAGAATGGTGATATATATATATATATATATATATATATATATATATATATATATATATATATATTTATATATATATATATATATATATATATGACTGCACGCGTACATGTGTGTGTGTGTAAGAGAGAGAGAGAGAGAGAGAGAGAGAGAGAGAGAGAGAGAGAAGGCGAGGTTATGATGTTTGGCCAATCAATGAATGTTTTAAAATTGAATAAGGCCAAGAATTTTTCTGCACCCTCTCATATCTTTGTCGGTATGTGTATGTGCGTTTGTGTGCACTGGAGTGTTACCGATCAATGATTGAGATATACTCTTGGCATTGTAAGTACAATCAGTATTTTTCCACTTTTCTGTGAGATACTCGTAAATTTAAGCAGGCTTTTAGTGCAAATAGGTAAGGAAAGCTAAAAACAATGCGTGATATATATATATTTATATGTTTAAATCAACAGATATATATATATATATATATATATATATATATATATATATATATATATATATATGTGTGTGTGTGTGTGTGTGTGTGTGTGTGTGTGTGTGTATATATATATATATATATATATATATATATATATATATATATATATGCTGAGGTAATCATTGTTTGGAACAGTTCACAAAAGTTGTGTACTTATGAAAGATTACTAAGAAAGGATTGTGAAAATAACTTGTCCTTCGCCCCGTGATGACTGTACAGGCTGCTATGTGTATACATTTCTATATATGTGTCTATTTTGAGTAAAAGGGAGAAAAGAAGTGTTTGGGGGGAAAGTGAAGTGACTGAATGTTGGTGGGAATATCGAATTCTGCCGCTGCTGCGTTTTCTTTCTTTTGCCAATTCTGAGTCGAGTGTGTGTACGGTGTGTGGGGGGGGGACGATGTAAATAATGGAATGGAACAATTGGCCGGAATACACAGGTGAATTTAAGCGGGAAACGATGAGAAAATGAAATGTGCAAAGAGACAAAAGGAAGGAAGGATGAGGCCGTTGCGTGAAGTCAAAAAAAGGATAAAATGTTTGAAAGAAGGAAAAACAAAGTTCGTGAGGTAAATAAAAATCGCTGGAAAAGTACAAAAAGGTCAGATTCAAAAAAGTACGAAAATGAAAAAGTGTTGAAGAGAAAAGAAAATCGAAGGGACGAAAGTTAGGTCTAAAAGATGGGAGAAGGATTACGCGAAGGAGAAGAGACAGAATGTAAGCAATAGATGAAAGAAAGAAAGAAAGAAAGAAAGAAAGAAAGAAAGAAAGAAAGAAAGAAAGAAAGAAAGAAAGGAAATAAAGAAAGAAAAATGAAAAGAAACAAATAAAGAAGCAAGTAAACAAAGAAAAGAAGAAACAAAGAATGAAAAAAGGAAGAAAGAATGAAAAAAGTGAGAAAATAAGGAATGAAAGAAAGAAAAATGAAAGAAAAAAAAGAAACAAAAAAGAAAGAAACAAAAAAGTAAGAAAGAAAGTAAGAAAAGAAAACAGAAACAAACAATAGAAAGAAAAAAGTAAAGAAAATTTAAAAAGAAAGAAAGAATGAATGAAAGAAAGAAAAGAAAAGAAAAGAAAGAAAAAAGTAAAAAAGAAAGAAAAGAAAGACACCTAGAAAGAAAAGATTGATTAAAAAAAAAAGAGGTAAATTTTATAAATAAATACATAGATGAACTGAAGAAAGGAAACGAGACGGAAGAAGAGGAGAAAATGATAAAATTGCAAAAAATGAGAAAAATGAAGAAAAACAAATATCTGAGTAGAACAAGTGTGACTTTTTTACATTAACCTAGAGGAGAAGAACGACCTTTTTCTTTTCTGTCAAGCCTCTTGGGGGATTTTCACATGCCGTTGCGTGATTGATTCGCCTGTTCTCCCAAGAGAAATCCGTTCTGTTATTGAAAAACGTAAAACACAATATTCAAGATTTTGTTAAGAAAACTTCATAGACAGACATTTATACTCTAGAGGTAATATAGATTTTGCAAGTAGGTAATTGCACTGATTTCTTGTGTAGAAGATGATGGAAAAACATCAATATACGATGTGGTGAAGAGACGCCTTCTTTAAAAATCAGCATTTAAGAACCCAACTTTTAAAAATACATCTACATATGCTTGATTAATGCAGCAACTTCGCCAACGATCATATCATTCAGAAAACAGATACATCCCAACTACCGTACCGATGATTTATTTGTTTATTCGAAGTTATTTAAGTTACTAACTATTCGGTCGATTTATTTTCTTTAATTATCAAACCTATTTTTTAGTCAAATTATTAGTATACCAATTATCCTATATTTATAACTATAAAGTATTTATATAAAAAATGCATATCAATAAGATCAGTTGGTGAATTTGCTATTCTTATAACAACGCAATTATTTTATAAGGTTATCAAATATTTAACTGTTTCTAAGTATTGAAATGTCACGTCCTTAACTTGAACAACCGGTTCTCCTACGATCACTGAAGTTAAGCAAATACCAGACTAGTCAAAACCTAGATGAGTGATCGCTTCGGAATGCTGTAATCTTGGATGTGCGAGTGGTGTAGTGGATAAAGACTCGGAACTGAAAATCGGAAAGTCGAGCTTCAATTCCAGTTGTATTAGGGTAGAATTCACTCTCGTAAAAATACCCTTGGGAAAGGTGTGAATCCATCTCTTTTTCCCTCAGCTATGGGTTAATTAGTGTGACTTCTATCAGTAAATCAGTATTATCTCCCAAAAACTTGTTACAATCTAAAACTATTTTCTGGCTTTAAATAACCTGCAAAAGGTTGATAAGCAGTAAAAAATACAATCAATCACGTCCTTAATGGCACTCGTGTAGTATGTATTTCAAATGGGAAATTAGTGTTTGTTTTTGTGAAGTATAAATTATATCTGGTAACAAATCAATGGATTTACCGGACACTGATTAGCGAAATCCGTTAAAGGATCAATGAGTTAAGTTTCTTGGATATTTATTACTTCATAGATTATTGTCGCTCTACTTATCTAGTGTACACTTAAATTTCACTAATATTTATGTTTTGATAGGAGTCATTCAATAAGAGGCGATTTGTCTTTTTTTCACACATATACACACACACACGCACATATATATATACATACATATACATATATATATATATATAATGTTGAATATATATATATATATATATATATATATATATATAAGATATATCTCATATAAATTTCAGTTAACATTAAATATATTATAAAAAACATTAATAAGAAATTTTGGGTGATGTCAGCATCTTTATAGTATGAAAATTAATTGTATGAGCAATCCATAAAGATATATAGGCCAGAAAAACATTTTATTAACACAATATCTGTGAATCAATTATTATTATTTGAAGAATTCATTTCATTTCTTCTTGATATTCTACAACCGACATCAGGCTTTCAACCACAGAATGTTACCTTTTCTGCTCTTTCAAATTTTAACATTTACTTGAGGCTGTTATATTTGCCTTACAGTGATCTCTGCTTGAATATTGTTTTCCATTCCCACATAAACCTTTTTCAGTGATGAAACGCAAGTTTTCTTTTGATTTAATATCTAGAAATCTATTTCCATTTATTTGGTATGTTTGGAACCATTTTGGCAAGGTAGACAATAGTTAGCTATGTAGAATGCAAAGTTAATTGTCTTGTACGAATATAATCTTTAACTTAACTGTTAATGATGAAACTGGCCGTTTCCATACAGGAAATATTCAGCATTCATTGAGCGAAATGTGTTACTGTCAGTTGAAATTTATAAAAGATAAAAGCCTTTTTCTTCTCAGTCTTTCAAGAAATTCGACCTCTTAATTTCACCAAATGTTATCGGTCGCTCTCTCACTCTAACTCTCTCTCTCTCTCTCTCTCTCACACACACTCTCTCTCTGTACCAGTCGCTCTCTCTCTCTCTCTCTCTCTCTCTCTCTCGCTCTCTCTCTCTCTCTCTCTCTCTCTCTCTCTCTCTCTCTCGCTCTCTCGTATTGATGGGAATTTTATTCCAAAATCTTTTCCGTAAGGTTTTGTGGAAAGTTAACATTTTGACTATATTACAATTTTCCCATCCAATTGTCTGTTTCAGCTGCTGTTGGAAGTGATTTTGACATGTACTCTATAATACGTTGCACTTACTTTCATATCATCATAAACTTAAAAGATTTTTAATTTTTCTGCCTTCAATATTATTGCTCTAAATTGTTGTGACTATTTCAATGAAGTCTATCTCAATATTCATTATTATAAATTACTGTTGAAAAATCAGTTTTCATGTACTTCTTTGTCGAACGTTTCCCTTTGTGATGTCAACTTAAAGGTAGTAGTTAAACTTCTTTTGTTGATATTCTATGTTTTTATCTCTATTTCCATTTTTTTTTCGTTGTTCATTAATCCGGTCGTTTAACGAAGTTCCCTCTTTAGTCTATATAAACAATTTGATTTATTACTGACTCTTTTTCTTTCCAGATCATTTTTCTTTCAATATATTGTTACTTATGAACTCAATAAAAATGATTACAATAAAATAATGTCGAGTAATCTTACTGTATGAATACAAATTGGGGAAAAGAATCCATTTTTGCATGGAATCATTGCATGCGATGAGAAATGGATACTCTTTGACAAGAGTAAGAGAATAGGCGATACCCAAAAATTCCACTTCGTCCTAAAAAAATTAATGGTTACTGTATGGTGGTCTTTCAAGAGTGTTATTCATTATTCATTCTTGCCTCGAGGGAAAAAATAACAACAACTTCGTATTGTGGAGAAATTAAGTGTATTTACAAAAAATTGAAAAAGAAACACCCTAGACTTGTGAATAGGGACGACCCAATTTTTTTGCACGACAATGCATGGACGTATGCATCTCGAACAAATGTCCAAAAGATGCATCAGCCTGAATTATGACATTTTGACACATCCTCCATATTCACCTGATATCATTCCTACTGATTATAACTAATTTAAACATTTTGATTTTTTCATAATAAAACATTCCCCAATAAAAAAAGAGGTCATTGAATCATTTGAACTGTTTATCACATCAAAAGATGAGATTTTTTTTAAAGATGGGGTCAAGAATTTAGGCGCACGTTAGAGAACAGTCATTCATGAACATGGTACTTATTTCAACTAAATAAATTAATTAATGAACATTTCAGAATCGTTTTAGCCATTTTCTGTAAAGTGGGTCATTTCAAATGTGAAATGTTATATATATATATATATATATATATATATATATATATATATATATATATATATCATATTTGAGTAGATGTTTTGTTTTTTATTTATTTATTAAACAGTATATTTATTTATTTACATCTACTGGCCTGAATATTCGAGAAATTTTATTAGAAAAGTCATGCCGATAGATGTAAATAAATATATTGTTTAATAAGTAAATAATAACAGGGCATCTACTGAAATATGAGCATCCATTTAAACAATAACGTTTAAACAAATAGATTATAAATCGGTTGTATTTCATCTATTTCCTAATATATATATTATATATATATATATATATATATATATATATATATGTGTGTGTGTGTGTGTGTGTGTGTGTGTGTGTGTGTGTGTGTGTGTGTGTGTAGATAGATAGATAGATAGATAGATAGATAGATAGATATGGGTATGATTTGCCTCTCTGAGTCGCGCTATCGACTTTGGATATTATTCATATTCACTTATATATATATATATTATGACAAACAAATTTCCATTTGCAAAGTACAATCATATGTCACTAAAATAGTTATTTTAAATATTTCTAAGAAAAACAGTAAATGTGAACTGAAATTGAAATGGTATTTTTATTACATAAAGATTATTATATCCTGAAAATGGGAGTAATTTTCCAATTCTTAACAACATTGATCTTCCCAATGAAATATAAGATAGTTAGCTACCTAACTAGATAGATAGATAGATAGATAGATAGATAGATAGATAGATAGATAGATAGATAGATAGATAGATAGATAGATAATGAGCAGCTTGAGATAGAGAGAGAGAGAGATCTTGAACAGGCTTAAATCTATAGATATGAAGAGTCTGTCATAGATAGATAGATAGATAGATAGATAGATAGATAGATAGATATGAACATACATAGATAGATAGATAGATAGATAGATAGATAGATAGATAGATAGATAGATAGATAGATATGAACATACATAGATAGATAGATAGATAGATAGATAGATAGATAGATAGATAGATAGATAGATAGATAGATATTCGGGGCGCGTCTGTAGTCACCTAGCGATCTCATGGGAAGCAAAGAAATTGGTTCTTATAGAAATTCGGATGTGCTGGCTTCTGTCGATAATCAGTGACTTCAAAGACGATCGCGAAATATGAATAGGAAATACTCAGTTCGCATCAATAAGTAATTTTGCATTCGCGCAACGTCCCTTTCTTCTATTCCATAACAATCTTCCAATTTATTTTCACTGAGAGAGAGAGACAGAGATACAGCGGTTCAGATAAATATGAACAGACACAGTGAAATACAGAACTATAAAGAGACTAACATAGACATAGGTAACAGACGGACAGACCAAACACAGAGATAGAAATGAACAATGATTAATGGTGGGGGCTTGTATACATTGATGGACATCTCCTAGTTAGAAATATATAAGCAAGCCAGCAAGTAGATCGAAAATAAAGAATAATATAGATAAATCTAAATCAATTGAGAGTGGAAATAAAATAAGGGGATGTAAAGAAAGAAAGAAAGAAAGAAAGAAAGAAAGAAAGAAAGAAAGAAAGAAAGTGTAAGCGGGGCGGTGGTTAAGTAAGAACTGCCTACTCAGAAAATCAGCATTTGAAATGCCTGTTTTAACATAAGCTCGAACTGAATTCGTGTAACGGAGAAAGACAAAAGTTCCAAATGCATATATATATAGGCAGTGACAAGATTAATAGATGAGTATATATATATATATATATATATATATATATATATATATATAAAGAGAGAGAGAGAGAGAAATTCTGGAAAAGAGCGCAGAATCTGACATGTTGAACAAGGTCAGTACGCTTAAATTCTCGGTCACGATGACTTGTAGCTTCGCGCGAAATTAATCGTAGACGGTTTCTGAACGGTTTTCGCCTGCTGAACCTATCATGCAAGATTTGAATCAACCGATAATAGAGGTTTTCTTTAGGTCTTTCGAAATGGTGTCGAGCGCTGGGGCCGTCTCCCCAAAAGCTCACTTCGTTGACAAATCGAACCCGCGTCTCGTGGCCGAACCGCTAACGATCTAATACTTTCAAATGAACTCTGAAATAGATAGCTTTTTTAGCTGTGCAAGTTGAAAATCAATGTTTTATAAATTCCATTCTCAACGGAGGAGGTATTTCGCCTATAAATTTACCTACAGACATTCAACAAATATAATTACTCCAATTTCTGAGTTTGTGGGGGGATGGTAGTCAGTGGAGATATATTTGTCAGGTTGTCACATGTCAGTGTTGTTCCGTAATCGATATAATCGATAATTCGAAGAGAAGGTACAATCAACATATTCTTTCTTTCTTTCTTTCTTTCTTTCTTTCTTTCTTTCTTTCTTTTTCTCTTCCGTTTCTTTTTTTTTTAATCCTTTGCTTGTTCTATTTTCTTAAATTGGTTGAACAACCTCAAAGATGAACAATTCCGAATGCCTGTTTCCTATTCCTTGAAATCTAGATGAAGGATAACAACAAAGAAACAACATTTCACAAAACCCGGTTGAATAAAAGGAAGAAAATAAAGTACCCCTCCCCCACAAACAAACAAAAAAAACTCAGCCGAATCTCTACTTTGATAATAATAATAATAATAATAATAATAATAATAATAATAAAAATTATGCACAATAATTTGTTCCAATTTTTATTTGTCTTTTTATTTTTTGAAGAAATTTATATATTTTTTTGTTATTCGACCAGGAAACGACTTGGAGCAAACAGAAAGGTGAATAAAAGAAGAAAATATGTTTTAAGACGAATAGATAAACATTGATTCAAAGAAAGAAGTTTATATATATATATATATATATATATATATATATATATATATATATATATATATATATATATATATATATATATATATTGTGTGTGTATGTAAATTTATTATATCAATATAAATGTAAGCAATGAACTTGCATCCCACCTGCATTTGTGTGCATGTATCTAGAGGTGCATGCTTACGTCACGATAAATTTGCATATCTCGCTGCACGCATAGATAACATCCATGTTGATTAGACAGAAAAACAGAAACACACACAAACAGAAAAAAGCAGAGACACACACAAACCGAAAAAAGCAGAGACATGCACAAACAGAAAAATACACACACAAACAGAAAAAACAGAGACACACGCAAACAGAAAAACACAGACACACACAAACAGAAAAACACAGACGCACACAAACAGAAAAATACAGACACACAAACATAACGTCGTATATTATGAATTCATATAGCTAACGATAGAACAAAGGTCAATGGTAGACATTTATGCAAAAAGATTGTGTTTCGCCAAACTTCAAAGTGGTGAGGGCTGACCTATATTATCAATTAGTATTTGAAAGCTTGTTTAGACTCGAACAGTAATAACTAACATCATTATAAGCTACGCATCTGTCTGAGACACCAAACATAGATTATTGTTGTCAAAATCTAACACTCAATTCAATTTCTTCATTACCCATCTATCTAAATGTTAAAATATCGCTCTGTCATTATGTTAATATATGTAATATATATAACTATCTATATACATATCTCTGTCTTTTCATATCTACCTCAATCTATACACTTAAATACGCATCCACAGATGTACACGTGTAAATAAATAAATAGATACATAGGAACAGACTAAGATAGATAGATAGATAGATAGATAGATAGATAGATAGATAGATAAAATTTTAAATGACTTATCTTTCTGATTCTAGTTCTGCAGATACACAGTTCGTCAAGGTTAAATAATTATGTTGAATACATTATCAGATACAATGTTTATATACGCCACACACACACACACACATATATATATGTATGTGTGTGTGTGTGTGTGTGTGTGTGTGTGTGTGTATACATATTTCAGATAGAGTATATCTGTAAAA